GTCCACAGGTGTTCTGGTCCACAAGTCCACAGGTGTTCTGGTCCAACTTCTCCACAGGTGTTCTGGTCCAACCTGTCCACAGGTGTTCTGGTCATGTCCCTGTGGTCAAAACTTTTTCCATCTTTTCTAGGGGTAATCTTCTTTTTGTCAGTGACAGTTTCATTTTTTATTTTTGGTGAACCAACATTTAAAGCAAGGACTAATTTTTAGGAGTTAATTTGAATATTCGTACTTTTTCCAGCATCAAGTTATTCGATTGACTTGTGGATTTAATGAAAAGTCACCAACAAATCTGTCCCCGTCTGTACGTCTAAATAAACTGATCAGTTTCCTGTCTGAGCATGAGATCCTGCTGATGGAGTTTAACCTGAGTGGTGGTTTTTCTTTGCAGAACTTTGAAGCTGCTGTTCAGGTCAACGTGTTGGTGAATGGACAGACTTGGGAGGAGGCTCCAGATGTTGACAGTAATTCAAGCTTTAAATCTCTTTACAATGAGCCCAGTAAACACACCGCCTGTGGAATGAGTGAAGAGCATCCCCTAAATGAACTCTCTGAGGTCAAGCTCCTCGTACGTTATCGCAGTTTGTTTCTTCTCTCCAACTCTCAGCGGAGGCGATTGATCTGGAGAGTCTGATGGATGACAGCATCGTAGAGACGACCAGACGGCGCCGTACCTACCCCACAAAGATCCTCCCTCATGTGGTGCACGCTCTCAAGGCTGAACGCAGAATCATGGTGGGTTGAACTTTGTTTCTGACTTCTGATCAACACGGGAGTGAAGCTTTAAAAGTTCAATTCACACAATTAAAAACAGAAATGTGTAGCCATCAGTTCACAGATTCAACAGATTCAACAGATTAAATCAAGTCAGTCACATCAGAAAAACTTGTTTAAAAAATGAGCAGTTATATTTTTATACTTCTTTAATGATCCTGTGTAAAGTGTATTTGTTTGGTTGAATAAATAAAGATAAATATCAGTGTGTCACACAACAACACCCGGAGCTGAAGGGACCGCTGCGCACGTTAACATCTGTTGTGTTTCTGTTGCAGGGACTTTATGAGCTCACGGTCAAACCCGAGGACTTTGTGAAAGATGCAGATCAAGGTCTGATCACACGCAGTCCGTTAAATCTACTTTCATGTGTCTGATTAATAATAAGTCCATCCATCCATCTGTGAGAGGCAGGGGACACCTGGACAGGTCTCCAGTCCATCACAGAGACAAACATCCATTCTCTCTCTCACCTAGAGACAATTTAGAGTCACCAGTCAGTCTAACATGCACGTTTCTGGTCTGTGGGAGGAAACTCGAGTACCCGGAGAAAACCCACGCAGCACGGAGAGAACATGCAAACTCCACCCAGAGAGGTCCCCGGCCAGGATTTGACCCAGCAACCTTCTCACTGAGAGGTTACAGCTCTACCAGCAGGTCCACCGTGCCGCCCTCTATGAACAGATTAAACTCCAACATTGTAGGAATGCTTTATAGGTTTTCACCTAACCCTAACCCAAACCATCAAACGCAACCTAACAAAGTTGAGTCAGTTCCTCTGGATGGATTCTTCTTGTTGAAACGTTTCTTCTTTTATCCAAAAGACTTCTTCAGTCTGAGGAGCTGCAACAAACTCAGTGTTATAAAAAGCACCTTCTCAGAGTAAGGCTAATAATAAGACTCCAGCTTTTGCAATCCACCTTCAACATCACCCAGTCAGATTTGTTCCGTCTCAAACTTGTCCTAACGCAGATAAAACCAAAGGGATGCTTTGTTCAAACAGGAAGTTGGTCCCAGCAGTTCTTCTTCCGATTTTATCCTCAAATGGTGTCCCCACTGAGTTAGTTGATTCCTTTAAATATTTGAGTATCTTGGTCGACTCGCATCTCTTTTAAGCTCCATGTGTTAAACCTAGTAAAGAAACTGGAAGTTAAACTGGTTTTGTTTTAAACAGATCCTGTCTAACTCTGAACCCTGAGGAACGCCTTGTATCTGTGACACTTGCCTTCCCTCCATTGATTACGGTGACATTATTTACATGAACGCTCCTACAAGCACCCTGCAGATGTTGGGTGCTGCAGATGTTGGATGCTGCAGATGTTGGATGCTGCAGATGTTGGACACTGTCTATCATGGTGCACTAAGATTCATAACTGGCTGTAACTACCGTACCCACCACTGCACCCAGTATTCACTGGTTAACTGGTCACCATTAACTTCACACAGACTCTCTCACTGGTACAGTTTCATCTTTAAATCACTTCCTGGTCTGCTGCCTTCATACATCTCCTCCTACATGTCTCTGTGTGAGTGCAGCTACAGCGTGCGCTCTCAGGACATCATTACCTGCAGTGTTCCCTCAGTGAGGACTGAACTAGACAAAAGGACCTTCTCCTACTCCGCTCCTGTTTCCTGGAATATCTTGTAAAAACATCTGAAGCTCTCGACCTAAGTGACTTTAAAACCATGTTAAGTTCCTGCAAAAGTCAATGCAGGTGTGCTCCTGTTTTTAGTTTTCTATATCGCCTTGTGATCTAAATGTTTTTTGCTGCTGTTCCTCTTGAGTGTCCTTTTGGTTGCCATTTTGTTTCGAAGAATCCTGAGAGTTTGAGCAGGCGATGGGGGAGAGGGCGGACTACAGGAACCCCGGGAGCACCATCAGTCTGGTTGATCCACTATGAGAAGGTGCTGTTTATAAGACTGAGTTTGTTGAGGCTCCTCGGACTGATGAAGTCTTCTGGATAAAACAAGAAACGTTTCAACAAGAAGAATCCGTCCAGCTCTTCGTTGCATCAAATGCAACATTTCTTGCTCTTTCTCTATTTTCCAGCAGAGGGCGCAGTTTACATTTAAAATGTCCTCAAACTAACTTTTTGTCTGTCAGACACTTGTAAGGACAAAACAATGTAGATTCTTGAATTATATTTAACCAAAATGAAACATCTAAATGTTTTGTCACATGAATACGTTAGATATTTGTTTGAGATGCTGAGGAATACTTTGTGTGTTTAGCGAGTCAAGTTGGGCAACTATTCTTTAAAAATGTCATCACGTGAATGTTTTAAAAGTCCAGAGATTCAATTTAATTCCAATAATTCAACCTTTGACCAGTCAGACAGGAGCTTTAGCTGCAGGAGGAACAGAGGAGACCTTTTCCCACGTTTCAGTTCAGCTGTGCACGTTGCAGCCGTTGGATTTCTCTCATTTTCTAATAAGGAGGACGTGTTTGTGCATCAGACTCCGGGAGGTTTCAGTGAAAGTAAAGCACCTGAAACAGAACACCAAGGACTGCGCTGCACGTCTCTCACAGCTTTAAGTGACAGATAAAGTTTGTTTGCACGTTTAAATAACAGGATGTGTTTTTATCATTTCATATTTCAGCTCAGGTGCATTATAATCAAGTCTTTATTGTTATTAATATGTAGGTACAACATTCTCTAACTGTTAATAAAATAAAAGTTAATACAACTTTAGTCCCAGTTAATTTATCTAGTTTGAGTCCAAGTTTTGTTTGGATGCTCTAAATTTACAAAACGCTCAATATTAAAGTCATATTTTCAAAATAAAAGTAAACCGGAACATTTTAAACCCTAAAAACGGAGAAGTCGAGTCAAATAATCTAAGAGCACGTTTACAAACAGCCTCGGGTCGTGATCCTGTCTAAAGTATAAAATCAACATAATTATTCATTCATTTGAACTGCAGTAAAAAAGTGAAACATTCTTTACCCACTAATTATATTAGGAAACTTTTCACATCTTGACAAACTTGAACTTTAAATGTTTTTTGGTGCAAACAAAAGTACAGCTGTTTCCCACATCTTCGCATCTTTAATCGTCTACAAACGTACAAATTAAAGCAGAACATGGACGTTACTATTTGTTTGTTTGTAGGATTATATTTTATCTAGAGATGACTATCAACTCTCATCTTTTAAAGGCTAATATACCATATCCATCCCATATCCATACCCATACCATATCCATCCCATATCCATACCCATACCATATCCATACCATATCTATACCATATCCATACCATATCCATACCATATCCATACCATATCTATACCATATCCATACCATATCCATACCATATCTATACCATATCCATACCATATCCATACCATATCCATACCATATCCATACCATATCTATACCATATCCATACCATATCTATACCCATATCCATACAGTATCCATACTATATCTATACCCATACCCATACCATACCCATACCATATCCATACCATACCCATACCATATCAGGTGGAAAAAATTAGATTTAGCAACTGCTCTGACGTGGTTTTCTAACTTTAGTCCAGCATCGACTTTGAGCCCCAGGTTTGTAACAGCTGGTCTGATGTACTGGGCCAAGGAACCAACATCTGCACTGGGAGTCCCAGTGGAGCTTCATCACCATCACCTCAGTCTTTCCCTCATTGAGAAGTTCACAGCCATCCAGGCTTTGATGTCCTCCAGACATGAATACAGAGGAGCCACAGAGTTAGAGCTTTATCTTTAGCAGGACATATATCTGTGTAATATAGAATAATAATAATCATATAATACATTTGAACGTTTCAGCACCAATCAAAGAAACTGTCCAGATGACCCGACTGAAAACTGCTGGATTGTGTACCTGGATTATTGAGCATGGACTTTGTTCATAATGCATTTAATTAATTAATTAAAAAAAGAGGTGAATACTTTCATTAAAATGGGCAAAATAAACAAACAGAAAGACGGAGAAGAATATCCTGATTCAACTTTCATTTTTCAGCTTCTGTTGGTTTTTTTCTGCTTCTGAAATGGAGATTAAATCTGAAACGGTTTGTTCGCAGGATTAACCTTTAATCTGGTTTTGTGTTTCCTCAGAGAGCGTGATGAGCGAAGTGTCAGCAGCTGCTCCTGCGGTGGTCCAACAGGCCATCCAGATTATAAAGGTGACCTCCTCATCTGATTAGTAATCTACGTTTAAAGCCTTTTTAATCTGAAGGTGTTCTCGTGTGTTGTCCTGCAGTCCATCAGCATCCTGCAGAAACAGGCTGAAGGTCTCTGTGAGGTCCTCAACACCAAGCCCAGCCTCGCCTCCCTGGAGATCCACCAGGAGGTGCTGGGTCCCAGCAGCCAATCACACGCTCTGCCTCCTGGCGCCAGAGTCAGGCAGCCAATCAGGAGAGCCGTAGAGGAAACGACAACCACAGAAGGCTACGTTCCCCAGGCCAAGAAAACAGGGTGCATCATGGGAGAGGACGCGTCACGCACCGCAACAAGCTGCTGAGACGTGAAAAGGTTTGGCTGCAGAAGTCGAACTCTGCAGGTCGAGGAAAGTTTTGTTGTAAAAGCATCGAAGCTGTTCCCTCACAGCACGAGACCTTTCTGCAGAAGTTAAACTGAACATATCTGATTTTAAAAGTTTGAATCAACTGATTAGAAACTAAAACTACAAAAATGTTTGTTCATTAAAATAAGTACTTTATAGATTTCTTTATTTTTGTTTACAGCCTGTGATTATTTCAATTTGTCTGTGCTAAAGACGAAGCTGCGCGTTTATTTAGGATGCATTTCTTTTTGAAATTATTCCTACTGACCAAGATGTGAGGAAGGAAAAGTGTTTTAACATGAAACCAGTGCAGCAATGGTTGAGTTGGGTCAGTGGTAATGGTTTGGTTCTGGTTGGGTGGTGGCGTTAAGTTTTGTTGGGTCGTTTTGGTTTAGTTTAAATTGTTGCTTTGGTTTGTTCTAAAAAGCTGTGGTGTGTCTCTGACTCGTTTTGTTCAGGAAACGTTGGTCGGGTTCACAACTGTTAAAACGTTTTAAGTAAATATAATGTTCACACGTAGAAATTAATTTCTAGCTCCTAAAATGAAGCAGAACAAATAATTCACTTTTTTGTACGGTGGCTCAGAAGGGACAATCTTGTTTGATTCTCAAGTCTTTTCAGCCTGAAGGAAACCTGGATTCAGGTCTTTGTTGGAAGAAATGGACTCTGTGTCCAGAAGGATCTGGACCTGAGACTGGACCGGTCCTGATCCTGACCGAGACCGAAACAAGAAGTTCAGCAACAGTTTCTGCTGCGAAGCCAAGAGAAGTTTTATTTCTGCACAAGCTGTGACAAACATTATTATACTTTGTTTTTTACAGAGAGCAGGCTGTAAGTAAATAAAGATGTTTACTAATAAATAAAATAAAGCTGGTGAGACTAAACAGTTTGGGGACGAACAAAACAAAAGTATTTTTTATGACAACTTTTGTCTGATTTTGATTTAAACACGATAATAGATCGAATGTTTCTCTGAATCATGAAATCAGTTTTACAAACAGAAACTGTTTTTTCTGTGAAAGTGTGAATATTACAGCTGAAGGACTTGCTGAGAAACAGCTGAAATTAACTCAAAGAACATGCTGAAATGGAAGAACAAGCCTAAATTAGCAGAAAGAATATGTTTGCTGAAAGAAGCACAAAAAAAGAGGAAATTATGTGAAATTAGCAAAAACAAAAAGAACCAGCTGAAAAGTAGCTAAAAAGCGTAAAGAAGCTGAAATTACGAGGAAGACGAGAGGACATTTTTGATGTATTAGGTAGAAAAATGAAATGAGTGCAAAAAAAAGGTGGAATTAGGGCGGCACGGTGGTTCAGTTGGTAGAGCTGCTGCCTCTCAGCGAGCAGGTCGCCCGATTCAAATCCTGGTCCGTGGTCTTTCTGGGTGGAGTTTGCATGTTCTCTCCGTGCTGTGTGGATTTTCTCCAGGTACTCCAGTTTCCTCCCACAGACTAAAAACATGCATGTTAGCTTGACTGGTAACTCTAATTTGTCCCTAGATGAGAGAGAGAGTGAATGTTTGTTTGTCTCCAGGTGTCCCTGTGATGGACTGGAGACATGTCCACGTTGTCCCCTGCCTCTCACACAGTGACTGCTGGATATGGACACCAGTGACCCCCATGACCCCAAAAAGAAGACGTGGGTAAAGATAATAGATAGATGGATGGAAATGTGGAATTAGCTTATAAAGCTAAAATTAACAAAATCAGCTAAATAGTAGCTGAAATAGCTGAAACTTGCTGAAATAAGTTGAAAGGGGCATAACAAACTGAATGTAGAAAGAAGTTAGAAAAAGCACAAAAATGTTGTAGTTAGAAATAATCTGAAAGTTGCACAAAACAGCTGAAATTAGCTGAAAAAAGTTTGTTTGCAGCAGGAAGCTGAAAGAAGCTGAAGCAGAACAAAATGTGAAAGGAGCAGTAAAAGGTTTTAAACACATCTAAAGATTTGAAGGATGGAAAATGAGCTCAATTCATTTGCTCTGATGAATAAAAGTGGCTAAAAAGATTAAATGTTTCCAAAAGCTAAAGTTGCACCAATACCAAGAGCTACAGCAGGATTGTCCTGAAAGAGATGAACGTTTTCATTTAAGATTTGTTGAAATAACTGAAAACTGCAGGATGACAAAGATGCTGAAAAATTTACGGAAGAAAAATGGATTTATTTGATTTATCAGATGTTGGTGGTTCTTTTACAACCAGGAGCAGCTGATTAACATCTGAAAAGATCAAATAATCTCTAAACTACAGCCCCAAATCTCAAATGAGTTGAAAAGGAGGCACTGTGGATACATTCCCGTCTACCTGCCGGCTGTGCTCGAGTGTCTGACCACCGAGATCCTGGAAATGGCAGGAAACAAGGTTTGTGACAGCAGCACCTTTGTGACCGGGCTCGTCCCTCGACACCTACAGTTGGCTGTCCGCAGCGACGAGGAGCTCAGCTGGCTGCTGGGAGGAGTGGCCATCACTCAGGGAGGTGTGGCCATCACGCAGGGAGG